CCCAGCCTGTACTGATACCGGGGGCTGCCAAGGGCCAGGCAGTCCCAGGTGCATGGTCCTGGGAAAGCAATCCATTTTCCACCAGTCCCTTTGGGGTGTTACCAGGCGGGGGTGATGCTCGGGCACAGAAGGGGCTGGACAGACCGGAGCACCCCAAGGAACCTGGGGAGGGAGAGTGCAAGAGAGTGAGGGGTGTCATGCCTGCCAGATGGGCAGGGGTCTCTGCTGACCCACACCCCAGCACTGGTATCAGTGGTTTCCTTCCCAGTGCCCCCTCTGCAGACCCGTGGGGCTCGGCTGGGACCACAACGACTCTTCCTCCTACTTTCTAGGTCTCCCTGGCCAGGGGGAGCACGAAGGAGACAGGGGGGAGAAGGGAGACCCAGGAGCACCGGGTTACCCTGGAAAGATCGGCCCCAAGGGCCCCCCGGGTTCAAAGGGATTACCGGGTCCCATGGGACCCCCCGGCCCGCAGGGGGACTCTGGTGACTACAAGACCACCCTCAAGTCCGCCTTCTCCGCTGCCAGGACCGTCAGCTCCTACCCGCGCCGGGAGCAGCCCGTCCGCTTCGATCGCATCATCACCAACGAGAAGGGCCACTATGAGAACCGATATGGCCGTTTCATCTGTCGGGTCCCGGGCATCTACTACTTCACCTACCACGTCACCTCCAGAGGCAATCTGTGCCTCAGTGTGAAAAAAGGCCGGGGTGGCAGCAGGGGCCAGAAGGTGGTGACCTTCTGCGACTACGTGCACAGCAGCTACCAGGTCACCACGGGTGGCGTGGTCCTCAAGATGGCAGCGAACGAGTCCGTCTGGCTGGAGCCAACGGAGAAGAACTCCCTGGTGGGGATCGAAGGGTCTGACAGCATCTTCTCCGGCTTCCTGATCTTCCCCGAGGCTTAGCCCGCTGACGGTGTCTCTCTGCAGCCCTTCCCCTGCTGCTGGCTGGTCCTTGCAGGGCTGAGGACTCCCCTGGAAATGACTCTTTGCTCCAGATTTGGTGTCCTAAGCCCGTTGCTGCTGGTCTTGCACATTAAATGACAGCTCCTTGTGTTGTTGGTTCCTTCCTGCCTAGGATTTGCCTCTTTCCCCCCGAATAATGCTCAGATACGCAGGGCATTGCCTCCCGCACCCCTGGGTGCAGCCTGGGCTCATCAGTATCTCATTACTGCTGAGCCAGTCAATTCATGCAGCTCCTCACACTGAGTATCTCCTTCCAGAGCCACCCAGAGAAAGTCCCAGCCCAGAGTTAGGAAAACATGGAGAGGAAGCCTGGTCTCTAGCCGGGGGTGGGACACATGACCTAGTGGGAAAATTGTGGCCACTGGGTACTGGTGGTAGATGGGGAGATGCTGGAGACGGTGCTGTACTGGAGAGCCCTGAGGCTGGTAGGATCTGGGGACACCAACCTCTCAGACTTTTTTTTGAGGTGATGGTGACAATAATATCCACTGAAGTTTGTCATAGCTTGTGAGAAGATGAGCCGGGTGTACGTGGGGAAGCCAGAACTTGATGCCATGATGGAAGAGGTGTGGGACACACGGCTATCCCCTGGTGCAGCTGGGCAGGATCCAGATCCCATAACCCCAGCAGAAGACCGACACCTGCAAGTCCTACAGCACAGCCAAGGCCCCCTGGAGATCCAAGAACCTCCAGATGACTAAGAGCTGAGGACCCCAAGGATGTCCCTGTCCTTGGGGCAGGTGACAATGCAGCATTGTTCCTGGGTGGGGGTTTGCCTACAGCCCCCAGCCCAGCCATGGCAGATGGTACCAAGAGCTGCGGGGTGTGAAGCTGTGAGGGTGTACACGGGGTGCTCAGGATGTAGGAGTTTTCGTGGGGATCTGGGACTTGAAAAGGGCTGGCTGAAGGGGATGATGATAAAGGGTCTTGCGGGGGGCGGGGAAGGAGTGGGATACGGGCTGGCTTTTACGAAAAGCATCGTTACTGAGCTCTCGGGGCCTGCTTATGGGTCCAGGGCCCCACAGCTCTGGGCTGCACAGGTCTCTCTGCCCCAGTGCAGGATGGTGCTTCCCAGCTTTGCCTGGCACGGCCAGGTTGAAGGCTCCAGCATCTCTCCGGGACAATTTGCCGGCAGGTGGCACTGGAGACTGGATCAGCCCTCACCTCGCCAGCGGCAGCATCCTCGTCCCACAGCCCGGCAGGGCAAAGCTTGCAGGGACAGGGCAGAAGTCTGAGGCTCAGTTTTGCCTTGCCCGTAAGGTCTGGGAAGAGGCACCGGGCAGGATTAGTGCCGCCTCTTGCAGCCCTGGGTTAATGCTTTGTCCTTGCCACCTCGCCGCTTGGTCCTTCCCCCAGCAAAATCTGTGGCTCCTGTCCCCAGGAGTGCAGCCACCCCGCATCCCCAGACCTCTACCTCCTATCAGAAAGTCGGGGCAGAGATGTTCGGCATTGCATCTCAAAGCTCTCCCTGTGCAGGAGCACTGGGCTGCTTTTAAAATGCAGCTGCAACGCTCATGCCATTTTGCAGCTAGAGATGCAGCATCCCAAATAAAAACGGGTCAGCAGGGCAGGTGGAGGAAAAGAGTAGGTGTTTGACCCCCAAAACAGAGGCTGGGCAGCGTACACCAGCTAAGACTCAGCAGATCTGCAGGAGACACCAAACCAAGGAGCAGTTGATACGCTGGAGGCCAGGGCTGCCATTCAAGGAGCCTTGACAGGCTGGAGAATGAGCTGGCAGGAACCTACTGACATTTAATGGAGACAAATGCAAAGTCCTTCCTCTGGCATGGGATAACCCCACGCAATAGGACTGGCAGGGGGGGCAGGAGGAAGCTTTGCAGGAAGGGATCTGGGATGCTGGTGGACAGCGAGTTGAAGGTTTCTGCCTTTCTGAGTAACTGATATAATCATTTTGGACTTCTGAAAAGGTCCCCTTTGTAGGACCCCTCTGGAGTGGAGCTGGTTTTATTTTTAAAACTAATGTCTGACCTAACACCAGCACAAGCCAAAGGGTTTCTAGGGTCTTGGCTGTACCTGGAGAGAGTCAGAAGGCAGCGCAGGTACCAACCGTCTCTAAAGCGCAGCTCACTGTGCTTGTGCAGCCGGAAAACTGAGGTGCACAGGGCATTGCTTCCTCCCGTGGGTCTCAGCCAGCACCCGGCAATGCCACCTTAGGCATTAGCTCCATGCAACAGCAGCTGTCTGCCCCCCTGAAGATGCCACTGCACGGGCCATGGAGCAGCACACCCCTCAGGTATCCAAAATGGATGAGAAAAGGGGGCCAGAGGGCCATGAGAGGCTGGTGGTCTATGCAACATCACCGTTCCCATCTTCCAGAGTGTTTCTGCCCCTGCAGAAAGTCCCCAGGCCAGGGCAGCTGGAGAGGACCCCCTCCCCTCAAGCTATTATAGCCCTCACCGAGGCCAGAGCCAAAACGCAGATGCCCCTTCCCACGGGACCACCCGCAGCCGGAGCCTGGATTGCTGCCACAGAGCAGCAACCCCTCTGCAAGATCCTCAGTGGTGCTCAGGACCACAGCAAAAAAAATTAAAACCCATCTGGCCAGCAAGGTGCTGGGCTGCCAGACACACGTTGCCTGCTTGAGGTTACCCAGGAAAGGCAGGACTGCTCTCAAACCTCCCCACCCTGCGCTCAGGTACGTAATTAATGATTCCATGCAAAACAAAGCAATCTGGGAACAACACAACCATTAACAGGAGAGTTGGAGAGAAACCTGCCGCAGGGTCAGGTGCAGCCTGCTGGTGAGGACGCCGGACAGGGGAAGCTCCACATTCACCGTCTCTTAGGAAAAGGACCAATTTGCACCTTTAATTAATTCTTTACATCTTATCCATGAGCACCTGTCACCCACCAAACTTTAACCGGGCCGCGTCTGCACCCATTGAATAGATCCGCAGGTTTTGTTCTCACCGGGGACCTGACAGAGCTGTCCCAGCCCTCTCTGCACGCTCTCTGCCTGCCCTGGCTTTGTGCTCGCTCACACCACTCTGTGCATGCTCACCCTGCTCTGTGCACAGACTTGCTGCTCTGTTCACCCTTGCACTGTGCACACATGCAGCCTCACCCTGCTCTGTGCATGTACTCACTGCTCTGTGCATGTACTCACTGCTCTGTGCATGCTTGCACACAGAGCATGCACACTCACCTTGCTCCAGGCACAAACTTGCTGCTCTGTGCATGCTTGCACACAGAGCATGCACTCTCACCTTGCTCCAGGCACAAACCTGCTGCTCTGTGCATGCTCGCACTGTGCACACATGCATGCTCACCCTGCTCTGTGCATGTACTCACTGCTCTGTGCATGCTCGCACACAGAGCATGCACACTCACCTTGCTCTGTGCACATACGTGCTGTTCTGTGCATGCTCACACTGTACACACATGCACGCTCACCCTGCTCTGTGCACATACGTGCTGCTCTGTGCATGCTCACACTGGGCACACATGCACGCTCACCCTGCTCTGTGCACAAACTGGCTGCTCTGTGCATGCCCGCACTGGGCACACGCACCCCATTCTGCACACACTCGCTGCTCTGTGTGCACTCACGCTGCACGCTCACCCTGCTCTCTGCACGCTCTCTGCAGATCTGCCCTGACGCACGTGTTCTGCTCCTCTTT